ATTAGGAAAACTGGTATATTGACCAATAGACTAAATAAAAACATCTAGACCATAACTGCTCATTCAAGCCAAATACTCAACCACAGGACTGAAAATACTGAAATCACCTCTGCCATACATCACAGCTTCTCACATCAGAGTCTCACAATGCTCATTTTCGAGCCCGTCCACTCCTCCGCTCCCCAAAGCGGTCACTGCATACATCACCTCTTTCCAAAACCCAAACCTCCTCTACTTCATGTCCACGTTTTCAACTAATGACTCTATTTTAATTTCACTGAGAAAGGAAAAATAACTGAACTTTGTACACGTTCTCACCATGTGTACCCACTGTCTGGCTTTGTTTTCATGTGGCCTGCCCTCTCTCACACCCCAAAGGACGGGAGGGGCCTGCTGGCTCTCAGTACTGCACCCCATGCCACTGGCTTTGCAAACATTCCTCTAGCAAACTGTTCCCTTTCTTCCACTTTCAACACCTGTTTGATGGCTCCTAGGTCATAACCTTAAAAAGATACTCTCTTGGCCCACTTCCCCTACATTATCACAGTTAATAAATCTTCCTTACAATTCAACTCCTCAGAAAATTGTTGGCACTTTTTCTGGCTTTTTTGCCAACCTTATAACAGCTTGATAAGCATTCAATAAGACATTTATTTATTTAAAGCCTTCAGACTTTCACAATGCAGACAGAGAAGTATGATCATCAGTATTAGCTGAAATATGATTTACCTCATAACAGGCATATAAAATTGTTATGTCTACAAAATCTGACAAGCAAATTTCTTATTAGAGAAAACCAAAAGCATAAAATAAAATAACTGAGTAATTTAATTAGCTTTGAATGCAATGATGTAAAAATAACCCCATAATAAGAAAATGAAGCCTGAAGAGATCAGTTCATGGAACTAGGTACCAGCCTTGTAAAGTTCTCAGTGTCTGTGGTTTCAAAGGCTGTAAGTACAGAAGCGATACAGGATCACACCGTAATCATTTGGAACACTGCTCATAGTTATTATCATAGATATTACTTATATGCACAGAAATATTCCTGGCATCTTCTTTTCCTCTCACCTGAAAAGTAGGTTTTCAAAATCTGTTATCACATATACACATGCAAATGCACACCCACCACCTTGCAAGGAACACTGAAAATGTTGACAGGCTCCTACGGTAAGATCTATAGACGGATATAGAAAAGCACCAAGAGCCATCTGATTTAACAAAACTATAATGGCAGCAGAACTTTGAACCAGAGTTGGAACCCTTGGGTAGGGCAGTGGCAATCATCACAACACATTAACAAGATGAAAAGAAAAACCTTGGAGAAGTGAGAAGCTTTATAGTCAGGAATGGGGACATCCCTCCACTCTTTAAACATCAACATACCACGTGGGAAGCAGGAAAGCAGTAGAAAGACTGAGCGTATCCTGACTCTGACGCCTTAACACTTTCCCAACAGTGAGAATAACGTTGTTTGTTAACTAAACATTAAAATTTGGGCATCTTTCAACATGCTGAATTGTCATAAACTAGAAGCATAAAATATTAAATTACAGGAATGATATCAAACATATTCCTATTTCTTAAGTAAGTTATAAGACAGGACACACTTTTTTCTCTCCTATTGCTGAGGTATGTTGCTGTCTGATTCTATTATTGCTTTCCTGAAAATGTCATTATGTTGTTGGCTTTTTTAAAGAGTATTTCTATTAGGTACAGAATTTTAGGTTGATTGTTTTCTTTCAGACATCTGAAAGCAATGTGTCTCCTGGATTCCATGTTTTCAGTTAAGAAGTTGTCTGCTCGAATGGTGGACTGTTTCCTGCACACCAAACAAGGGTAGGGAGTGAAGGTCAGTCCCCAAAACCCACATAAAGGCCAGGCGGGTGGGGTGACCCACCTGAACCCCAGGGCCTGGAGCTAACAGACAGGCAGAGGATCCTTGGAGAATGCAGACTAGACAGATGAGAAGCATCCGCGAGCTCTGAGATGACATGAGGGACCCTTCCTCAGTGAACAAGGAGGATGGATGGTGATAGACAAGACTCCTCCACCTCCGCAGGCACGCACCCACAGTGCACATGCAACTGCACAAACATTATGTGCACCCCACAATAACAGACATACACACATGCAAATCTGCTACCCACCACACACAATATATTACAAAACAAGAAGAAACTGTCAGGTGTCAGACTTAGTTGCCTCCAAGACAGAGAAATGCCTTTTCTCTTTCTCTTTTCACTTTTGTCTTCATTTTGGAGGGATTTTTACAATAATGATATGAATTTCCCTTGTCCTGGATGCTCGTGTAGATGCTTCATTCTGTGATCTCCTAGCTTTTGTCATGGTTGTCATGGTAAAACAGTATTATCCCCTTGCCAGAGGAAGCTTCACAGTCCTCTTCTCCTCCGACAGTGCGGGTGAAGGGTGGGCAAGAAGAACAAATCACTATCTCATAAACAAGTTCTCCTTAAATTCTTGTGCTCAAACAGCTTTAGAAGACATGTCAACTGTCACAAAACAAAAAGCATAATTTCTAAAAGGATTCCAAAATAGAAACAAGTACAATAAAAATTATATTTTAAAACTGTAAACACAAAAAAAAACAAAAGAAAACAGTGTTTCCAGCAAAAAAAAAAAAGAATGTTATGGATATAAATAAGTCATACATTATCAAAAGGAAAAAATGAACACAAATAAATTAGAAGTGATCATATTAGCTGGGGGAACACGCTGAAATGTCGCTGAGCTGCTGTCTCTACCAACTACACGGGCAGGAGTCGGATGCTTGTGACCTGCCTCTGCGGAGGACGAGGAGAACAGGGCACACCCTGCTGCTGGAAGCTCACGGAGCTACAGGGAACTGGGGCGGATCGGTCACACATCAGGGTCACGTTCATGCATGCACCTCAGAAGAACCGCTATAAACGAGCATGAGAAGGCTGGATAGCATGCAGAGTGTAGCACTGCTACTTATAAAAAGTGAAAGATATTTCATAACACCACAAGCTTTGTATTTCATTCACATTAGATGGTAAAACTGAAAAATGCTAAATAAAAAGGTGAACCCAAAGAAAAATATATAGTTATCCTCCTGAATATTGGAAGTAGACAAGATTGACAGGCAAAAATTGGGAGCTTCGGGGTGGGGGTGGGGTGGGAGTAAGGGGAGAGGGGGAGAGAGAAGGGAGAAGGGGAGGATGGGGAGAGCTTGGGGGAATGGGATGGTTGGGATGGAGGAAGGGTGGATATGGGAACAGTGAAGTATATATCGTAATTAAGGGAGCCATTTTAGGGTTGGCAAGAGACTTGACTCTAGAGGGGTTCCCAGGTGTTCAAGGAGATGTTCCCAGCTTGTTCCATGGGTAGCTGAGGAGAGGGCATCTGAACTGGCTTTATCCTATAGCCACACTGATGAATATCTTGCATATCACCATAGAACCTTCCATTTGGCGATGGATGGAGATAGAGACAGAGACCCACATTGGAGCACTGGACTGAGCTCCCAAGGAACAGAAGGAGGGAGAACATGAGCAAGGAAGTCAGGACTGCAAGGGGTGCGCCCATCCACTGAGATGGTGGGGCTGATCTAATGGGAGCTCACCAAGGCGAGCTGGACTGGGACTGATGGAGCATGTGATCAAACCAGACTCTCTGAATGTGGCTGACAATGAGGGCTGACTGAGAAGCCAAGGACAATGGTACTGGATTTTGATTCTACTGCATGTACTGGCTTTGTGGGAGCCTAGTCTGTTTGGATGCACACCATCCTAGACATGGATGGAGAGGGGAGGACCTTGAACTTCCCACATGGCAGGGAACCCTGACTGCTCTTTGGACTGGAGGGAGGGGAAATGGGAGGAGGAGAGGAGGTAGAAATTTTTAATAAAAAAAAAAACTGAAAAATCCTTTTTGTAAATTTAATAAATATTAAAACACAAGTGTAAATAAGAACAAATCCTGGACCTCAAAGCTTGATGGTAAACAAATTTATTCACCTAAAATGGATGTTTAGAGGTACTTGTAGGTATGTCTACGGACCAGAAACCATTTTAAATTATATTATTTATGCACAGATTTGTTATTTTGTACTACTGCTGCATGACAGTGTATCACATTACCATAAAGATTTAATCAATTCAAAAACTATTCTGTGACATCATCCTATAAACACCACTATTACACAACTATAAGATATTATCCCAACAGAGCTCATACTCATAGGAACTCACAGGACTGTGACAGCACACTCAAGACCTGCTCAAGTTCAAGCCATAGCAAGGGAAAGGAGAAGTGGACACAAAGGCCCACCCTAACCGAGAAGCTCTCTGTAAAGGACACTTGTCTCCAGTGGAGTGACACGGGCTCTATCAACCACACCTCGAGGCACACCCCCTGGCCAGGAGTAGGTGGCCAACAGTGAATGAATTCCACCGTGTGTGTGTGTGTGTGTGTGTGTGTGTGTGTGTGTGTGTATGTGTGTGTGCGCGTGTGCATGTGTGTGTGTGTACATGTGCGTGTGTGTGTGTGTGTGGGTGTGCATATGTGTGTGTGAGCATGTGCATGTGTGTGCATATGTGTGTGTGCGCGTGTGCATGTGTGTGTGCGTGTGTGTGTGCATGTGCGTGTGTGGGTGTGTGTGTATGTGCATATGTGTGTGTGCGCGTGTGCATGTGTGTGCGCATGTGTGTGTGTGCATGTGCGTGTGTGCATGTGTGTGCATGTGTGTGTGTGTGTGTGCGTGCGTGTGTGTGTGTGTTCATTTGGGTTTGGGTATGAGGGGTGGTAGTTGTTTTGTTTGTTTGTTTTGATTTGTTTCTGCTTTTTACTGAAAGAAAAAGAACATGAAGAAGATGGGGAGGGAGGTGGGGAGTATTTGGGAGCAGAAGGGGAAGAGGAAAGAATAGTATCAAAACGTACTGTATGAAAGAAGCCAATACAAATACAATCATTAGCAACCTTCTCCTTCTCATACTCCTGTTACTCAGCCTACTCACCAAGTCTTGGTGTTGACTTCGTACCTATACAGGTCATCCACGAGTCCATACTTATTGCCTGGTAATGCTTTATAACCGCCGTGAACGTAAATGGACTTGGTGACCTCATCATACACACTTGTGTGACCGTATCCACCTTGCACAATCGCTCCTTTAGTTTCCGGAACCAGCCAGGTGTTTGAAGCTATAGCAAGAAGAAAGCAAACCATGAAACTCAAGTAGTAGCTAAAAATACAACCAAAATGACACAAAACCACCAGTTAAGTCGTTAAAAATACAACCAAAATGTCACCAAAACAACAGGTTCACGGTGGTGGCATGTAATTACAGGCAGAGAGAGCTGCCTGACACTCGGTACACTCTGAAGACGTACGGTGGGGACTGAGGAAAGACTAAGTGTCCTAGGTCTTTCATAATTAATTCTGAAACACTGGAAATCCAACTTTTGTAATTATAAAGAAAAAGGGGGAAATGTAACTTATATGTACTTATGTTATTCAAAAATAATCCTTAATAAAAAATGCATGTAACAAATGTTTCTTAAGGTCTTCTGTGTGACAGAACTGGAATAAGTTAGTGATATAACATGACTGCTCTCTTAAACCTAAGCTAACTGAACATTCTTCTAGCACTGTGTTGGTCTAAAACCTAACATTCCAGTATTCACTTGACAATCACAATATTGTTGGGTTCCACCAGCAGACACACTGTGGAAACATGTGATCTTAACCACTGAACCCCTCTCCAGGCCAGCACCTCCTTTCCGATGCGGCACTGAGGCACTGGGCTCTGTGGCGCAGTAACGTAAGCATCCTGCTGTAGCTGAGTCACATCGACCCGCGGCTCTGTGCTCCTTACTGTGCAGTCTCCAGGGTGAAGGCACAGACACTGAGGCCCAGAGCCGCCACGCAAATGCACTTTGATATGGTAGGAACTCTTACCGTTTGCGCTTACATAATACATGGAATGTTAAATGCTCATGACTCATCTGTTATTCCTGTGAAACTCAAAACCCATGATTCTTCCCACTTCTGTACAGCCAAAAAAACAAAACTCAAACAAAAACACTACTATAAATTTACTTAGAAATAGCATTTTGGTTATAGAATTAGCCAAAAGGAACTGAACATAGAGATTTATCTTTAATTCACCGAAATTTCAGTTGTCATTCTACAATCAGGTTATTCCTAACTGAAAACAGAAGCATATCAGACAATACATTTATTTACTTATGTGTTAACAGTGTGCACGGACATTCCATTACGTCACATGACAGTGCACCTGCTTTAGTTTCCCGGCCATCCACGCAAAGTGAAAACGTCACCGTGCTTCATGCTGAAGGAGGCTATGAAAACGTGACGTGTCTAATACATGTCATGTGAACTAGAGCACAGGTTAGAGGAGAGAGATGCGTCTACAAAACAGTCAGCAAGGAAAACTGGGCAAGGAGAAGCTGACTTACAGGTGCCCCAGACAGCACCATGGTGATATGTATTGTGGTTATGAACTGAAAACTGGAAGTGCTGGAGGGTGGACAGGAGCATGGGAGACAGCGGCCACAGAGATCAGCGGCAAAGGACTGGAGGCTCCAGGAAGATCCACAAGCTATGAGAGGTGTGGATTCTGTGTGCAGTCAGCTGGAAGGGCCGGTCTCACTGGAGAAGGGAGGTATTTGCAACAAAAACTACATAACTCACTGCAGGCACTGGAACGGCAGAGGGAAGCTGGAGGGGGGTGGGTGCAACAGGAGAGAGTAAGTAAGCCGGGCAAAAGCCGGGGTGGGGGGTGCAACAGGAGAGAGTAAGCCAGGCAAAAGCCGGGGTGGGGGGGTGCAACAGGAGAGAGTAAGTAAGCCGGGCAAAAGCTGGGGTCGGGGGGTGCAACAGGAGAGAGGAAGCAGGGCAAAAGCCGGCGTGGGGGGGTGCAACAGGAGAGAGTAAGCCGGGCAGAAACAAGACTTGACAGACAAACAGGGAACTGAAAGGCCGGATATTATTATGTGGATATTTAAATCAAAAATAAAACTGCCAATCTGTACCAGACAACGTGTCAGGAAGCCAGAATCTAGGTCCAGGAAATGAAACAGTGACGGACGGAAGAGCAAACAAGGGGTGCATGGTGATGGGAGTGTGTGGGGCGCTGTGCAAGGTCCATGCCAGGTTAGTATGCAGAGGGGTGGGGACAAGGATGGGTGACAGCAGACACACGTGTGGCACATCCTGCTGTCATACCAGCACACGGAAGACACGTGTGCACGTCCTGCGCTCATACCAGCACACGGAAGACACGTGTGCACATCCTGCTGTCATACCAGCACACGGAAGACACGTGTGCACGTCCTGCGCTCATACCAGCTTACAGAGGACACAGAAACAATCCTGCCACCGAAGGGCTACAGAGAAGACTGTGACGTCCATCTTCCTCTAAGCCAGTGTCTCAACCTTCCTCATGCTGTGACCCTTGTAGTACATACAGTTCCTCATGTTGTGACCCCAACTATAAAATTTGTTTTCTTGCTACTTCATAACTGCAATTTTGCTGCTGTTATGAATTGTTAGAGACAGATGTCTGTGGACGGGGTCGCCAGCCACAGGTTGAGAACGCTTCTGTTATGAATTGTTAGAGACAGATGTCTGTGGACGGGGTCGCCAGCCACGGGTTGAGAACGCTTCTGCTAAGCACACATGAGCTCTCACTACTCGTGTGGCCTGTGAAGGCGTGGTCTCGCTGAGACTGTGTAAGGACTTAAAGGCCACATGTGCTGTTCACACAAAAGCCAAGAACTGGGACACAGTAAATGAACAAGACCCGGAAATGAGTATAACTGTACATTTGAATAGCAACTATAAGATGAATGCTTGCAGACAAACTAAAAAGATAAATTACCAATGCCTTCAAATGGCCCAAAGGGTCAGGGTGGGGAGTACTAGAAAAAGTTACTTACTAAAAAACACACACAATAATCCAGAAAACCATGCACAGATTGGCAAGGTTCCCTTCATACACTAAACAACAGTCTCTCTAGAGACCAGCAGCTCACCCTGGAGAATCTACTGTAAATAGGCCTCGCATTAAGACTAAAACATAACACAGAAAACTGGAAATCCTAAAAATCATGAAACCAAAGACAAGAGCTAATTCCAGCTTTTGATTCATAGGTAAAATCCAAGGAAACAGCACCATCTGTTGGAACATCTCATATTTAAAAATATTTGAAAGTGAATGTGTAATATCCCCCTCATCTGGCTGCAAGATATACCCAATATTAGACAAAAGTCTAGCATAATCAAAAAGATTATACTGAAAAACATTATAATTCCAATCTAAAATAACTTACTATTTTGACCAAATAATTAGAAAATACAAAACAAAAGTGCTCCCAACCAATAAATAAATGACATCTTGAAAGAAACTCACAGATATGATATTCCTGTATGTTGCTTGTGTAGCCATATATTGCAGAATATCCAAATATGACAATCATGACAACGTCCCTACTATCCAGCTCCATGATGTGTGCCGAATGTCCCTCCACAGCGTACTGCTGACCGTGGCCAAGAACAGTGGGCGTTTTTGTGCTCCAAGACTGACTGTGTATGTGAAAAACCCATAATTCATCTGTGACATTGCCGTCACTTGTTTCAATTCTGCCTCCATACATAAAGATGTTTTCCTGTAAGTTAAAACATGCACATCAGTAGACAAGATAGTTATTTCTTAGCAGCATGCATGCATTTCTTAAAAGACTCTATCTAAACACTGCACTTCAGTGACTGCTCAGAGCATCCCTAAAATCGGAACACACCACTGGTTGCAGAGGGAAACTTATCTACGCTTACGAAAGGCTGAGTGATGCATTTTCACTTAAATATTTACATTATACAGAAACATAGTGCACCAGAGTGCAGTGGGCTACAGCGGATGGCTCATACAGCACCAGAGTGCAGTGGGCTACAGCGGAAGGCTCAAACATCGGAAAAGCAGCACCATTAGCGTTGATTGACTTCACCGATGGAGTCTTCCCAATGCCTGAATGATCTGAGTCCCCGATAGTTACATTTTAATTTTACCACCTATGTAAATTCTCCTTGCTCTTCTCAATTACTCAGTGTTTTCCCTCACTAGTCACCAAAACCATGGGCATTTGTATTTCACTCCAAGTACATGTATTACCACTTATGGCTGTGGGAAAATGCACATCTCCAGTTCACCTTAGGAAATCTTACAACACTCTAAGTTACCCAGATTTCATTCACAAATGAGTCATATAAATGATACAAAATGGTATAGACCACTATATTTCAACAAACTAAAAAGATGATTTCTTCAATTTTGATAAAGCTTATCTAAGGGAAACACTAAGATGATATTATAGTGAATAGTGAAGTATGGGATGCTCTCCCCTCAGACCAAGAACAGGACAAGGACGCCTACTCGGTCATTCCTATTGAAAACAGCACGGAAGGTCTGCCTGGGGCACAGAGGCAAACACTAGTAAGGGCCCAGAAAAGGGAATGAAAGACAATTTCCATGAGCAGATGATATCACCTCATATACAGAAGATCCTAAGAGACGAAGAGTTGGCGAGTGAATTCAGTTACATGAAGTATGAGGTCGGTGCACAAAAGACATGCATGTCCACATGCTTCCAATGAACCACACAAAAGCAAAGTCAATAAAGCAGCTACCCTGACATCAAAAGTAAAAAATATTCAGGAATAAATTTACAGAAGAGTTCAAAACTGAAGTTACAAAACAGTTGAAATTCATAGAGATATGAATGGGAAGACGCTACATTTTAGGGATCAGAAGAGGTAACACTGCAATGACAAAGATCTCACAGTCCAAGGATAGATTCAGCATGATCTCTATCAGAATTCCAACAGTCTGTAAAAGTAAGTAAACTTCTTAAAAACTGAACACAAAACAAGTCTCAAGACAGTGGGGTCAACGTAAGTCGACACAGTAGAACGGAGAGTCCAGAGACGCGCTGACGACGAAGAGACACGCTTGTGGTCAAACGGTTTTGGAGAAAACTGACAAAACTATGCAAAGGGAAAGGATGCCTTTGTAACAGGTGATGCAGGAAAACAGGCACACGCCAAACAATGACACTGAACCCTTACTGTGTACCATACACGGAATTATTAAAAGTGGATGCAACACTAAATAAACCTAAGAGAGAAAGCTGTAAAATCTGCCAAAGAGACCTCATGGCACGGATGGCAAATGAGAAGTCACTTCTCCGGGACGCAGTAGATGAGAAGAGCCAGGTAACAAAAAGACAGTAATTGACAGAGCACTGGAAACCACAGATGGGCAGACGGACAGCGAGAGAGCAATGTGTTGTTGTGTTACGAGCAGCAGGGCTGCGTCCCTGGCATGCGGCCGCCCGCATGGCTAGCTTTACCCGAAATAATTATACAGAAACTGTATTCTTTTAAACACTGCCTGACCCATTAGTTTTAGTTTCTTATTGGCTAGCTTTTACATATTGATCTAACCCATTTCTATTAATCTGTGTAGCCCAAGAGCTGGCTTACCAGGAATGATCTTAACCTGCGTCTGTCTGGAGTGGGAGAATCATGGCGACTCCCTGACTCAGCTTCTTTCTCCCAGCATTCCGTTCTGTTTACTCCGCCTACCTAAGGGTTGGCCTATCAAATGGGTCTAGGCAGTTTCTTTATTAATAAGAAATCACTCCCACATCATTTCCCCTTTTTCTGTTTAAACAAAAAAGAAAGGCTTTAACTTTAACATAGTAAAATTACATATAGCAAAACAGTTATCAAGCAAGAATTACAGTTACAATATTTATATCTATTTTATCTTTTATCATAACTAAGGAAAACTATAACTATCTATTCATTCTTCAACTCCATCAAAGACTCCAGAAGGATATAATACTACCTAAGTAAACAAGAAATAAGAAAACTCTAGAAATGACAGAGACATCTCGCTGCCTGGACAGTCACCCAAAGTTCCTCTGTACCGTTGGGGCATCCATCTTCAGCCTTCAGGCCCAAAGTATCCAGCAGACATTTCCATGAAGCAGGAAATTCCAAAGACAGTTTAGTCACTATCTGCTGTGTCCTGTAGAATGTCTCGCAGACTCTTTCATGAGTCATGAACCCCAAAAGACCGTCTCGCCTTTAGGCAAGTTCAGCAGTCCTCTCTCTGCGGGTTCTCTGTGTCCATTTTATGCAACAGTCCAGGCAAGAGCAGTTTCTTGCCCAAATGGCTATCAAACTCCATAACGAGCCTCTTTGATGCCCATCTTCCTCTCGAAGTACATTGGTGCCAGCAGGAGCAGATATGTCTCATTGTCATGAAAGTCCTAAGTTATTAAAATATTTTTAAATGCCATATTCTGTAGCCTTTGAGAGAGATGAAAAATGCCTATCTGAAATATATCTCTATATATCTAGAAAATCTAAGTAACATGACTACAAACTTGACTATTATTTTTGATTATCCATCAACAACCTATATTTCCTAATTATACATTACACTTTAAAAATGAACTACACAATCACAATACCTTAATCAAGATCAGAAATACATATACATATAACAAAATTGACCTTAAAATCCATACCAATGCAAATTATTCATACCTATATCATTTCCCCCTTTAAATGTAAAAGAACATTTACAAACAATATTTTGGGAACATGGGCGCAGTTTTTTCTCTCCAAACTGCTTCCTGCTGAATGGGGGCGTCGTTAATTAGGTCTTTCATGGTATAACCTGTGTGCTAGTTTCATCTCAGTTGGCAGTTGAGCGAAGCAATTTTCTGAAGATGTTCACAACAACCTTTCAGGAGGGCGTGGTCTATCATACCAAATTGTAATAGAAGAAATCCACAGGGTCTGGTCCTCTGTGAAAACAAAAGAAGACCCTCTCCAAAGCATCATATTCTTAAACCCAAATTTTGAAATCGTAATACCTTTATATCCATTTTGGTTTAGCTTAGCAGCCCATGTAATGAAATGTCTGTCTGTACTTAGCTCCTTTACAGTCAAAAATTTTAAAGAAAACACAATGTACATAATCCAGACTCTCTGTGAATTTTCCATTTTTACGTGGCTTATTTTTCTTTATTTATTTTAATCTCTTAACTATCTGTACTCTGTCTATTTAAAGACTTTACCCTTTTTTTTTAAGACATTTACTTTATTCTCTATATTCTTATTCTTCTCTCTCTCAAGCCTATGTACATTCATCCAACACTGTGATCCACTGAGGTCTGTTATGTCTGAATCTGTTTTATTGTGAATCTGTAATATTTTTACTATCCAGGAGCATTTCTTAAAATGTTAAGCACTTCTTAAAAACTTAAGTTGCACCATGTACAGGTAATACGGTACCACCTGTGTCCTGCCCAGTCTAAACCTTAACTGTGCTGTTATTATGGTAATTACGGTAGTTCCTGCCAACCAGCACAGTTCAGCAAGGAGCAGCCGCTCCTGCCTCAGATCCATTTGGTGCCCCTGAGCTGTGTACAGTTTCAGGCACACAGCAAGTCCTCATTGGAGCCGCACTCAGCAGTTTAATTTTGAGACTGAGCATGCAGCACAGAAACTCTTTTTATCCAAGTTACAACCAAATCTGACACACAGAGCAGTGCGCAGTCTGAAAACACGTATCTTCCACCATGCTCTTCCGCCTGCCTAAGCCTGATTCTGCCATCTGCCCAGGTGCAGGCGGGGAGCGCTGAGAGCACTCTCCTTCCGATCCCAAGCGGGAACACAAACATCCAGTCCCATAAAATCCATTGAAATGCTTTAAAGCCAGAGTTTGCACTGGCGGCACAGTCCCAAGAAGCCGCACTTTAAAATGACGCAGCTTTTTTTTCTGCTGCTGTTGCCGAATCAGGAAATCTCTCTACAGCACGCCACCAACAAACAGCAAAAATCTGTGTTAAAGTCTCTCTCCCTTATTTTTAAGCCTTCTCAGGTTTTTAAGTGGATTTAGCCCCACGTTGGGCGCCACTCTGTTGTGTTACGAGCAGCAGGGCTGCGTCCCTGGCATGCGGCCGCCCGCATGGCTAGCTTTACCCGAAATAATTATACAGAAACTGTATTCTTTTAAACACTGCCTGACCCATTAGTTTTAGTTTCTTATTGGCTAGCTTTTACATATTGATCTAACCCATTTCTATTAATCTGTGTAGCCCAAGAGCTGGCTTACCAGGAATGATCTTAACCTGCGTCTGTCTGGAGTGGGAGAATCATGGCGACTCCCTGACTCAGCTTCTTTCTCCCAGCATTCCGTTCTGTTTACTCCGCCTACCTAAGGGTTGGCCTATCAAATGGGTCTAGGCAGTTTCTTTATTAATAAGAAATCACTCCCACATCAATGTGTTAGCTGACAAGAGCTGGCGACACAGGCTCCAGTCCCTGCCATGCTTCATCCCAGTCAGGAAGCCCTGGCAAAAACATCCCCACAGCCCAACCCCTACGGGACTAGCCCACAGTCTGTGAAAGCCTCGAGTCCAGTTTGGGGCTATAGTCACACAGTGACTCCCATTGGTGAGAAACACCCCCCACCCAGGGAAGAACTCTCCGTGTCTCAGAAAGCTGTGGTCAGGCTCCAAGTTGGGAGAGAACCTATTACTGAAAAATCCATCTACCCCAGGTACCTGAAAACAAGAAAGAACCATATATCAGG